AAATAGGTAAAAGTGTGTGACTTGTACTGTTATGGTAATGGGTCAATATCGGTATTGGTCAATATCGGTATCGGACAATTCTCAAAGTTGTAATATCGGTATCGTATCGGAAGTGAAAAAGTGGTATCGGGACATCCCTAGGATTTATGGAGCGATCTCGCATTTCCTGCACACGCTTCTCGGACCTCCTCTGTGCTTTGAACCAGAGCGGACCTGAGCGGAGCGGACGCTGTATAAATTGGGGTGAAAACAAACGGCTGCGAACAGCGGAGCGTACCGCATCTAGTGTAAATAAGGGTTAGAACACGTGCTGAGAACAACTCCCATAAACTTCAATGATTGCTCGACTCCAATACTTTATGGCAAAGTTTAAACACAGTTGCTGCATGATCTGTTAGTGCTAAGAGTTTGTGTTGAGGGTCAGTCTCAGCAACTACTAAACCAAATTTTTAAACAATCTCTATAAGACTGAAGAAGTTAGAACCTTTTTCATTTTTGCTAAATTCCATTAGCTGTGTCTTAAATTGGGTTGACTCCAAAAGTTATTCCTCCTGATCGGGAAGCGGGTCTTTTTATTTTTCAATGACACCACAGATCCTGCGGAGGGAAAGCTGCTGAGACTTCAGCAGATAATTCTGTCAGTGAAATTGAATCCAGGTGAATCCTTTTACTGAAACCTCCGTCTCAGTCAGCTACAGCAGGCCAGAATTCCTGCTGAACGCAGTAATTAATCACGCAGCACCTGAAAGCAGTTCCACTGAGTGCCGTCATGGTCAGGAACCAAGGGAGTGTTTTTATTAAGAGTACTCTGAGCGTTGCATTCAATAACTTCTCGACTGTAATAAAATCATCTTGGTATACACACACACACACACACACACACACACACACACACACACACACACACACACACACACACACACACACACACACACTATAATGTCCACAGCATTACATGAATATGTAATGAAGTCCACGTTGAAATTAAGAAGATGGAGTTTTATACCATTCTACTCACTTCTTCATCACTTTCCTCCCTCTTCTCTACTGAAGCGCCTAAATATTTAACGTTTCCCAAAAAAATAAATTGAATTAAGAGAAATAAATCATCCCTACAGGTTGAGTCTGGAAGAGTCAGAGGCACAGGTCTCTGAGGATGTGGTGGGTGGGGGATCACAGAGGACCACATGTGTACGGTAAACGTAGAGTAAAGCGCTCTGCCTGCCTGCACTGTCGACAGTCAGATTGGGTCTGTGTGGGATGAAGAAGTACTGGAGTGTTTCTGGCAGCCAGTGGGGGTGGAGGATGTGAGGGGGTGCAATGATTGCAAGAGAACACAGGAAATGTCATCCCAGGCATTCGACAATTCCTGTGGGACAGAAGTCAACTGTCTGCAATCTGATACACGGATGTTGGTTAAGGAAAAATAATAAAATAAAACACGCGCGCACGCACACACACACACACACACACACACACACACACACACACACACAC